TTGATTAATACACAGTGAGGAAGAGAGTAAAAGAACGAAAGGTGATGCCTTGTCATATTTATTCATTATGTTTATCCGTTTTCATGACGATGTATTTGCATGTCTTATGTAGTCATTCAGGTTGTAGTTATCGTATCTTGTTCCCCCTCTCGCATGTCCCCTCTCAATCCTACATATTAAATCTTTATTTGTTACTATGTTGCACATATATCTACGTTTGTGCAGGTTAAATTACGTGAGTGTCCTGTCATAGCCTCGTCACTACCTCGTCGGGGTTAGGCTCGGCACTTACGGAGTACATTGGGTCGGTTGTACTCATACTATACTCTGCACTTCTTGTGCAGATATTGATACTGGTCCCAGCTATACGTGAGACGTATCAGCTCGGATTATCACATTTGGAGACTCGAGATAGATCTGATGGCGTTCGCAGACCTTAAAATCCCCTTNTGGCGTTCGCAGACCTTAAAGTCCCCTTCCTCTTTCCCCATTTACTGTTCATTTCACTCGAAATAGTTGTATTTATTTCAAACTCTATTTGTAGAACTTCTAGACTTGTGACTCTAGTTCTAGGATTGTACTTAGATATTTTTGGTTATTTTACCTTTTCACATATCATTCTAGTTTTATTTGAGTTTAAATGAGTTTTAATTACTTGAATTGTTTAAAATGGCATAGAATTTACTCTAACGTTGGCTTGCCTAGCGAGTGAAATGTTATGCGCCACCACAGTCCCGAAGGTGGAAATTCCGGGTCGTGACAGAAAATCTATATATATTTTGTATATATATACATTATATATATTATATACAAAAATTATACAAATTTTATACACTTTTTAGGCTACCAAATGTAAATAGTTAAAAGCTATAATATCCCTATATTTTGCTAACTATTGTACCTGTAATTTTGGCCTTTATGGGTACTGTTGTGTCTAAAGTTGGGCCTTTAGATTATACTCCTTACGCTTCAATTTATATGAACTTATTTGACTGGGCATGATGTTTAAGAACAAAAAATTGAATTTGTGGTGTAAAATAAGGCACATATATTTTGTCTCACTATAAATTATTATATATAAAGGTAAATTATTTTCCAAATATGAAAATATATCATTCTTTTTGGTACGGATTAGAAAGAAAATAGATTTACGTGTGGACGAGTATATGACAGTCCAATTTCGAATTTAGTCAAATTTCAATACCGATACTATATATCGAGCGAAAATCCTTTTTAAATAAAAAAGACTAGCCTCTATTCATTTTCCACTAGTTACATTTTTAGCTTGTGTTTTGTTTTGTTTTTGTCCTTGCTGTTGCAACTTGCAATAAAGTCTAGGTCGACATATCTTGTTTTGTAGTCTATTAATCTTGTGGTACTGTATGCACTTTTATTTGTTTAATAAGCACAAATTAAGTAATATTAAAGTGTCCAATAAGTGCAAGCCTATTAGTTGAAATGTCAAAAGTTGGTATCAAATTTAGGGAGTTATTTATGCTCCCGTTTGGCCAGATTTTGGTTACTATTTTTTAAGTTTAAATTTTTTTTTCAAGTTTCAAGATTTATGACAGTTTTTGAGTGATATTTTTCCATTTACTCACAAAACTTTAACTTTTTTTTTCAAATAAAATACATGTACAAACACAATTTTAATTTTTAAATATTATTTTCCAACGTAACTTCAAAAACTCTTTTTCCAAGTGTTAATTAAATATATGTTTAACTATGTATTCATTTGTGCTTATGTTTTATCATGCATTTTCATAAGTGAGTTTCATACTCATCTTCATGCAAACACTTATACTATAAAAGATATATTATTCCTAAATACAACATGTTTATACGAGATGTNATACGAGATCATTACATTGTAAGTGTACCTTATTATTGGTAAATTTTGGACTTCACCAAAAATAATTAAGGAAGTAATGATATGCAATAAATAAATAAATAAATAAATAAAGTTAAAAATATTATACTTGACTCAAGACACATTATGGGGAACACGTTTCTTTCACGATACATCTTATCCTTTCATTGATAGAAGTTAGCAATAGCATTATTCTCATATTAGCGGAATTATGGTTGTTTGTCTCCTTATATGGTCATAGACTCTCGAGATAATTCATATTTCAAGACTAGCTATTTTTTAGAGCTGAAATAAGTTTAAAATTTATTTCTCCGTTCGAGCATGCGGGGGTGTTAAGCAGGGGCTGAGGAAGAGTATTAGTCGCGGGTTCGAACGAACTCTGCTTAAANACGAACTCAGCTTAATTCTTATATTTGTATTAGAAAATACATAAAATATGTATAAATATCTAATTACGAACATAATAACTAAGATAAACTATGAGTTCCTGATAAATTGAAAATCTATAAACACCAAATCATAGCTCCGTCTCTGTGTTAAGGTGTCCCACATTTGTTGAGGGATGGGTTGTTATATGGTCTTGGGCAAGAGTTGGAGTCACTCGGCCACCAATTATCTTCATTTGGCCCATTGTTTCCCATTAAAACAATTCGCCCCAAGTTGATCTAGTTACTGTTCTCATTTATAATCCAAGTTGATACTATTTGTCATGTGGCTGGCTATACGACATTGTTTTTGTTTTTTTTTGGAAAATTTCTAGGAAACCGTAGCTGCTATTCTTCGGGTACGCACTGAATAACTAGCTCACCGTGTAATAACTCGCAAATCACACAGAAGATATAAATTGCATTAGGCACGCCCGGTACGACTAGCTCTGACCGGGAAGACTACTGGTGAGGAGAATCGATCTCAGATCTCCCATGTGAGAAACCACTCACCCAAATAACTCAATCAACCCCGGCGGCGGGCGTGACTTCACAGTAAGTCTTTGTGAAGGCTTTCTTTTTGTCATTTTTCTCCCTTGTTTAGAACAAGTTGTTCTGACAGTTGCACGAGAAACTATTAAGTTCTATAAATAGGGGAGAAACATTGTTTTCCTTTTTACAGCAAAAAATTGAAACTCCAAATAGCTCATCAAAATGTTTTCCAAAACTAACCTTTTTCTTTGCCTTTCTTTGGCTATTTTGCTAATTGTAATATCCTCACAAGCTGATGCAAGGGAGACGTCTAAGGCAACTGCTCCAATTACCCAAGGTTTATTTACTTCTTCAATCTATTACTACTCCCGTAGTTATTTTCATTTTTAACATTTTGAGTCTGCGAACGGATGTTATAAATGTTTAAATATTCATGTAACATTTGGCTTAGAATTTTGTGATATTAAATATGTCATAATATCTTATAAAGAAATCTCATTAATGAAAAAATTGGAATTTCGGAATTAAATAATTATTAAACGTTGGTAGCATTCTTTGCTGGAGTGATTTAAAAGGAAAGTAAAACACATGATTGAAACGAAGTGAGTAGATGTTTACATAAGTATTATTTAACATTTTGCTGAAAGTTTAATGTCGTTTTGAAACTTTCTGAGACCTTCTACCTGTATAATATTTAGTAATCTAAGGATATCGCAACACCGCAAAAGTTTTTCTTTTTATCTTTATTGAATTTGGTGATTACTTTTTATAATAGTTTAAATTCTATTGCTAGAGCAAGGACACTTCATTTGAAGTAGCGACCTGTCCTGCCAAATGTGTGATCATTTTATTTAAAACTTAAGTTATTAGAGGAGGAACCTACGTTCATCCTAATTTATTTATGTTTGCAGCACTGAGAATTAATATGGTCACAAATTAATTTCCTCCTTTATTGGTTAACCTATAACTAATACATTACTCTACATAACCTAATTTGATGCAGAAATGAATTCAAACAACACTACTGATCAGAAGATACCAAAACGTCCAAAACCAGGAGGCAATATCTTCGGCAAAGCTTGTAAAATTTGCCCATGTAAATACCAGATTTGCAGCAAATGTCCTAAATGTGATGACCAAAATTAGGCCTCAGAGACTATGTACTTGTGCTGGTGTGAGTTTAGTTTTGAGAATAAAGGGAAAGTTATGAATAGCCTAATATAATTCTATTCACTTTCCTCTAGTTAATTTCTCTTAGTTTGTGTTTTGTTTTGTTAGTAGTTCCTATTGTTGCAACTTGCAACAAGTCTTGGGGTCAACATGTACCTCTTGTCTTGTAGTCTTTCGACTGTATGATATTGTACCGTATTGTATTGTATTTTTCTTTAGCCACTTGTTATCTGAAACCAAATCCAATTAAATCTAATTCGCGTTGCATAGGTTCTACTACAGTTAGACCTCTTTATAACATCTTTATATAATAGTCACCAAATTTTCTTCGAACCCATTCTTTTAACTCATGAGTTTTATTAATTTTAGTGATTGGAGTTAAGCTTTAGTAAAGAAAGAGCTTTAGGAAGTAATTGACTTAGATTCTTTAGGAGACCTTTCCTTCGCAAATAATGCAGTATGTTGGAATCTATCAAATTAGTCTTAATACATCAAATTCCATCCAAGTTTAAATTCCATAATTCCATAAATCCCGGCCTTACAGCAATCTCAAAATTAGTTTAGGACGATAATCATGAACGTCGTAGTTTGCTTTAAGCGCGATTAATAAATCATCGTGGCCATAGGTATGGTTCCCGTGGCATGGTCACGATACGTACATTCCATTCGGGTATGCATTTCATGTGACCCGACCATAACTTCTAACAATAATAAAAATAAGCATGTCGTAAATCGCGGGTGCATTTCATGTGGCGCGATTTGCGACGTGTGCCAAAACGACAAGTGTACGGCATCGTGACTTGTTCCAGAAATAATTTCATAAATAATTAAAAGCGGTTAAAAGTAAAAATGCAAAATAGGTTTTAAATATATAACAAATCAGATAATTAGGCAAATTAATAATAGTTGAAGCGGCCGTGCTAAAACCACGGAACTCGGGAGTGTNACGTGTGCCAAAACGACAAGTGTACGGCATCGTGACTTGTTCCAGAAATATTTTCATAAATAATTAAAAGCGGTTAAAAGTAAAAATGCAAAAGAGGTTTTAAATATATAACAAATCAGATAATTAGGCAAATTAATAATAGTTAAAGCAGCCGTGCTAAAATCACGGAACTCGGGAGTGCCTCACACCTTCTCCCGGGTTAACAGAATTCCTTACCCGGTCTTCTGTGTTCGCGGACCATAAATAAGAATCAAATTTTCTCGATTTGGGATTTAAAATAAATCGGTGACTTGGAACACCATAAATTATTCCAAGTAGTGACTATGATTGAATAAATAATCTCATTTCGAATAATGTGACTTAAATTGAAAAAACTACCTATCCCCCTCGGGAAAAAGGAGGTGTGACAACACCCCGATGTCGGGCTTTTCTTTCCGCATTTTTATTTTGATTGGAACTCTTTTAAGAAGGTTTTTATGTTAAATAACATTAAAATTATCTTTGAAATAAAAATATCGGTTTGTTTTAGAAATGAGTCGGCTTGCCTAGGTCCGNCACCATAAATTATTCCAAGTGGTGACTATGATTGAATAAATAATCTCATTTCGAATAATGTCACTTAAATTAAAAAAACTACCTATCCCCCTCGGAAAAAAGGAGGTGTGACAACACCCCGATGTCGGGTTTTTCTTTCCGCACTTTTATTTTGATTGGAACTCTTTTAAGAAGGTTTTTATGTTAAATAACATTGAAATTATCTTTGAAATGAAAATATCGGTTTGTTTTGGAAATGAGTCGGCTTGCCTAGGTCCACGATAGGTGCCATCACGACAGGGGTTAGCTTGGGTCGTGACAACTATTTATTCAACTCAACAAGTATAGCCTCTTCTTAGCTCTCGGGGTTATGGTTCAGTGGTAAGGACAAAGCACGTGACGTGTAAGCAAGGCACATGTCTCACGGTTCAAAAACTACCACAAACAAAATCTGGTATTTTAGTTGGGAGAGAGGTAGTGGGGCGAGCCTAAACTCCCCGGAGTTTGAAGCCCACGTGGGAAGCCCTCAAAATTTCGCATAAAAATAAAGAAATGTAGCACCTTTCTTTAGAGAGTATAGCAGAAGTGAAGTAATAATACATTGAATTGTCGCTGTAAATCCCATAAATAGGCCCTCTCTCCATTGATTCAAATTTTACTTTCACTTTCTTCTCCAAAGCCTTTACCTCTCTCAAGTTTCTCCATTTTACGAAATCCTCGGGTTTTGTTGTTAACCCCTTCTCAAAACACCAAGTCCTACTACTTCCTTCTTTCTTCAAACTCATACGAAAAATAGCAAAAGCTCAAAAACAGTACCACAAAAAGAAGCTGCTTCATCTTCTCAGCCGGCCGGTGGAACCCCGTATTGAGGAGTGTATTCCCGGATTTAGTCAAATTTGAATAAGAATAATAATACTAAATATCTAGTGAAAAAACATTATAAAAAAAATGACTAGCCTCTATTCATTTTCCACTAGTTACGCTTTTAGTTTGTGTTTTGTTTTGTTTTGTCCTTGCTGTTGCAACTTGCAATAAAGTCTAGGTCGAAATGTCTTGTCTTGTAGTCTATTAACATTGTGGTACTGTATGTACTTTTAAGTCGTTAAAAGAATAGTGTTTATTTACCAAGTTAGTATTGTGTTTAATAAGCACAAATTAAGTAATATTAAAGTGTCCAATAAGAGCAAGCCTATTAGTTGAAATGTCAAACCTTGTATTTGTATTAGAAAATATATAAAATATGTATAAATATTTAATTACGAACCTAATAACTAAGATAAACTATGGGTTCGTGATAAATTGAGAATCTATAAACTTCAAATCGTAGCTCCGTCTCTGGTGTTAAGGTGTCTCACATTTGTTGAGTGATGGGTTATTATATGTTCTTGGGCAAGAGTTGGAGTCACTCGGCCACCAATTATTCTACATTTGGCCCATTGTTTCCCGTTACAACAATTCGCCCCAAGTTGATCTAGTTACTGTTCTCATTAATAATCCAAGTTGATACTATTTGTCATGTGGCTGGCTATATGACCTAGGAATCCCGCAGCCGTAGAAAACCCGCGACCGTTATTCTTCGGGTACGCACTGAATAACTAGCTCACCGTGTAATAATTCGCAAATCACATAGGAGATATAAACCGTATTAGGCACGCTCGGTGCGACGAGCTCTGACCGAGGAGATTGCTGGTGAGGGAATCGATCTCAGGTCTCCCAGATGGAAAATCACTCATCCAACTAACTCAATCAAACTGGCGGGCGTGACTTCACAGTAAGTCTTTGTGAAGGCTTTCTTTTTGTCATTTTTCTCCCTTGTTTAGAACAAGTTGTTCTGACAGTTTGCACGAGAAACTATTAATAATACATTGAAACCTATGATATAAAAATAGCTGACAGTCATGTACATCCCATTGTGACTGAATGACTGTTTCAAAGACGAGCAACAGATGTTATCAAATTGGCTCAGATCAGAAAATATGAGGCAGAAAGACAATAAAAATGGAAAGACAAATATAACTATGTGACATGTATCAAATCTCATACTCACTTCTAAACGGGAAGCATTGGCAAACCGAAAGTGCCTTCCTCACTGCCTGCAAAATGACTAATTTTAGCTATAACTATTACATCATAAGCTCTTCAATGACCGAAAGAATTGCTCCACAAAATCTTTTAAACAAATCTTCGGGCAAAAGTACAGCAAAGTGAACCGAGGGAGTACTTGTTTAGTTTTCTTCTAGTAAATTCATGTCAATTCCAAACAGAATTTTACATTTATATATTCCCATAATAGAAATATTTTATAGCTACACAAATGTTATGACATATTTAATTAAGGCCATGAGTTTCAAAAACATTATACTCACACAAATATTATGACATATTTAATTAAGGCCATGAGTTTCAAAAACATTATACTCACACAAATATTATGACATATTTAATTAAGGCCATGAGTTTCAAAAACATTATACTCACACAAATATTATGACATATTTAATTAAGGCCATGAGTTTCAAAAACATTATACTCACACAAATATTATGACATATTTAAGACTACACATTTCAGAAGTTTCCCGTTCTTTCTAAATTTTGTGTTGAGTCAAACTATGACAAACAGATTGAAACAAATGGCGTAAATAACTACAGACAAATAGCCAGTTATCCTAACTCCAATTGAGGATGAGATAGTCAGTTGGGATGAATCAAAAGAGAATGGATGAAAACTACAACGATTGTGTTTTTACTTTGGGAATTTTACATAACTGTCACGATTTAAAAGAAATATAACAAATTCTTAGCATAAAATTCAATATTACAGTTGTAGCAGGAAAATATTTATATTTATAACACACAGTTCTATTAAATAGGAATATTAATTATTAATCCCTAAACATAAGCAATTTGAATGGAAAGTCAATAATTCTTTGTACAAAAATCATGCATTTCTTTTCTCTTTATCTATTAGCTTTCCTTCTTTTTCTTCATCTTCTTAATTTTATTTGGACGGGGTCCCGAGGGGCTCGTATGACTTTCGGATGGTTAACGAATCAAATTTGGACTAAAGAAAATGTTGGAACTGTTGCCGACTGGTGTGGTCGCACCTGTGAAGCTTTTGATCGAAGGTGCGAAGCCGCACGTGCGCGAAATTAGTCGCAGAAGCGACCAAGAGAAGAACTGGGCAGTGCTCGCAGGTGCGAGAATTTGCCCTCATCTGCGAAGTCGCATGTGCGAAGGGCAATGCGCATCTGCGTTCCCGCAGATGCGAGATTTTAGAGGGCCGGCTGTTTCCGCAGGCGTGCATTTTCGTCAGCAAAAGCGGATGTGCAGGTGCGAGCCCAGGCACCGCAGGTGCGGAAATGCCCGGGCAGTGTTAAAAATGAGGGTTCCGAGAATTTTTCTCATTTTGGAGCTCGGTTTGGGCAACTTTGGAGAGGAACTTTTCCACACAACTTGGGGTCAGTGTTCTTGACTCCGTTGTGATAATATTCCATGAATCTATCTTCATTTTTAGCAATTGGTTGATGAATATAAAGAGAAAATTGGGGGTGTTGGCCTCAAGTTCATAATACGAATTTTTGAGTTTTGAACATCGATTTGGAGTCGGAATTGAGTGAAATTAGTATGGCTGAACTTGTAATTAGATGGGTTGTCGTATATTGTGAGTTTCGTCGGATTTCGAGATGTGGGACCCACGGGCGATTTTTGGGGCGTAATTTCGGATTTTTATGGAAAATATTAGTATTTTGATATGGAATTAATTCCTATAATTTTTGTGGGCTGAA